TTTAAAAATATTTGATTAGGATAAGGTAAGCATAAATTTATTAAAATTAATTAAATAAATCAAATAATATAATAACTTTTAAATTCTATTTTTAGGATTTTATAACTTATAGATATAGTATTTAAAAAGAAAAAAAATCAAAGAATTTGAACCTACATTTTTTAAAAATATATTCAATTTTGAAAAAATTCTTTTCTGAAGTATTTATCATTAGGCTTATGTAAATACTATGACTTCTGCTTAAATTTGAATAGTATCACAAATTTCAAATGAATGATATATACTACCTTTACAAAACTCAAATTCTAATTCATCTACACTATATGATATATTTATAAAAGTATTTGAATATCAAGAATTTTAAGTACATATAAATGGAAAGCATACTTTTATTTCAATAATTTCAATACGTATAGATGCAGGAAAAATAATATGCTATTAGATTTCTGCAATCTTACGTAAAGGTCTAACTATTATAATAAGTTTACTAATATCTTTAATTGATGATCAAGTAGTAAGTTAACTAATAATTTTTAATTAATAAAAAAAATACATATTTACCTGATTTTCTTCTATAGATTGAAACAATTTTTGCTAGGATTAGATGTACCAGTATTTATGCTGAAAAACACCAACCTTCAAAATATTATAAAAAAGTATTTCTGAAATTTCTATTAAACTAATCAAAATATTATATATTATTACAAAAGTTTTATTTCTAACCAATTATTTACCAAAATACTTCTAAACTTTTCTAAATATACGTTGATATCTTTTATAATAGATGAAATATATTGCATTATTAAATGTAAGCATTTTAAGTAAATAAATTGATTTAATTGTGATTTAGTATTTCTTTTCATATTACATACTTATTATTAAATTGAAACTTACTATAGGAAATCGTAAGGTCAACTTAAAAAAATTCCTACTTTATTTCTTAATAGTTTAATTATGACGTTTACAGGAACTTATAAAGAAATTGATGCTTATAAAATTTTGAAAAATTTTAGACTTATTCTACATAATATTATTTTTATTCAAGAGACAGTTTTTTATGTCTTGAGCTTACAATTCAAGTACATCATAAAAGTACTAAAGAAAAAACAATTGGAGAAATTATTGTATTATTAAAAGAAATAAATGATGGTAAATGGGGTCTTTGCAATAGAAAGGGAGAAAACTCCAAAAAAATTAAAATTTTAGTTTATAAGTCTAAATACTATAATTTGTTCAGATTTATTATTAACTCATTTTTTATTTTTTTTTGAGTTTCCTCCCTTTCTATTGCAAAGGCCTCAAATGTATTATTTATTGTCTAACAATATGTTCATGTGATGAAATTTATAAGCAATTTCATGAAAAATTAGACATCAGCATAATGATAACTGTCTATTATGGTTCTTTAAACAGTGAAAAAAAAATTAACATTTTAAAAAGACAATACTATTTATAAAGTTCTGAAAATTTCAGTTCAGTTCAATTTGGATTATTAATCTTAAAAATACCAATTCGAATCTGAATTGAACTGCAGACCGGTAAAAATCTGAACTGAACCAGAATTTTCAGATTAATCTGAATTACAGTTCAATTATATAAGAAATACGCAATTTATATGCAAAATTCTAGAAGAATTGCAAAAAATCATGAATTTCTCTTTGAGGTTCACGAAATTTGAAGAGAAATCACAATTTTTTGCGATTCTCTAAGAGTTTCTTAGAGTTTTGCTAAATTTTTGCGATTTTCTAAGAGTTTCGCATATAATTGAACTGAACTTTCAAATTAATCTGAAATTATCAGTTCGGTTCTGATTTTTTTCAGTTCAGATTAGAATTATAATCTGAAAAAAGTCTAAATTGAACTGAAAAATTTTCAGATCGATTTTTATGTAAACTGAAACTGAACTGATCTGAACTGATCTGAAAAATCTTTGGATTAATCTGAATTGTTCAGAACTTTAACTATTTAATTTATAATTGCAACTAATGCTTTTGGTATGGGTCTTAATGATAAGAATATTTGATTGATGATACATTATACATTTCTATTAAGAGTCTAATATTTCATCAAAAATTTGAATGAATTATATTATATAATTTTACCATTTTAATAAGATAATCTTATACAAGAAAGTGAAAGAGCAAGAAGAGGTTATAATCTTGCAAAATGTATAATTTTTTATACCTGTTATGATATTTGCAATAATTATATAATTATAGCATAAAGGAGAGAATTGTAAGTATTAATTTTGTAAAAAATTATTGTAAACTTAAATTATAACTAAAATAATAATATATATTATAAAGTAATAAAAGATATTAATAATAATACTAAGATAAATAAAAGACAAGCATACCTGGCTGAAGCATGTAAAAAAATTTTTGAAGTTGTTCATTTTTGTAAAAAATAATATATATGCAAAGAATATATGCTTACAAAATATTTTACATGAAATGGTAACACTTTAAATCCTTTATATAGATATTGTAATAATTGTTTATGAGTATAAAATGAATTAGTATATAAAGTTGATATAAAATTTAACACTAATAAGATGATAGAAGTAGTTAAAGAAGTAATGAATAAATTGCATGAGAGTAACAAAATAATAATACCAAAAGATGTTGTACAGGTTTATTGTAATCTTAAATGCGATAATGAAGAATTTTTCTTGCTGAAATCTATAGAGAAAAGTAGAAAAAACTAGTTTGAACAAAAGTTGATGCTTTTCACTTATTGGATTTGCTTATAATATGTGAAATAGTAAAGGTAATAATAAATTTATACAGGCTAAATTCAAATGAAAATGTATTATAAACAAACATTCATATAGTTAGTATTGCTAAAGGTGAAATAGTATTAATAATGGTAGAAAATTAGAAAATTTACCTTTGTTCTTGAAAATTTCTAAAACTTCATACGAAAAGTTTTTTTAAAAAAATTATATAAGTAGAATTTTTAAATTAAATAATAGAAGTTTGGAAATATGGTTTTCTAATCATATAAGTTTTATCCATTTATGTTAAGTATTACAAAAATTTATCTTATATCAAAAATCTGTATTATGTAATAATTTTTGTTAAACATTTGCTATAATGATGATCACTTAAGACAAATATTCTACCCTTAATTAAATTTAACTCAAAACTACTTAACTATATATATTCAACCATAACCTAAATAATATCTTAATATAATTTAAATCTAACTTAAACCTATATAATTATATTTTAACACTAACTCAATCTTAACTTAATTCTATTTTTAATATAATTCAAACTTAATTCAATCCAATCCAACTAGCTTCAAATTTAATTTAAATAAATCTGAACTTTACTTAAAATTATTCTAATTATATTTTAAATTTATATTATATTAATTTAATTTTAAATCGATTTTAAACTAATTATAATTTAATTCTAATTCATTTATCTTCTAAACTTAATCTAATACTTACCTAAATTAGTATGTAAAATTCACGTACACAATATACACAATGTACACATATGTACATTAAATTTTTGTGTATACATATTACATAACATAAAATGTGTACAAATAATTATTAAAAATAGATAAATTATATATAATAATGGATAAATTATTAATAAAAATGGAAATACTATGTAATACATGCATTAATTTCTATTTTTAGTACAACTTGTGCACATGACTTTTGGTCTAAATTTTATATACTGATCTAAACTTAACCAATCTAATTTAATTTAACTAAAACCTAAACCTAATCTATTAACTTAACTAAATTTGAATCTAATCTAATCATATTCTAAACTTAACCTAAATTTAATCTGAATCCAACCTAGCTATATCCTTGAAACCAATCCAATTATTACTCAAATCTCACTATAATCTGATTCTTACCTAATCATTCTCTAATTCAAATCTAAATCCAAATAAAACCTAACTTAACTTAACTTTAAATAGATAATTCAATTATAATCTTAATTTTAAACTAAAGTCTAATCATATTAATTTCATTAAAATTCATATTTATATATTAATTTTAAAAATATTAAATGTAAAAATTATAAAAAACAATTAATAAAAAAATTAAATAAACATAAAATTCAAATAAATTAAATAAATTAAAATAAGTATTTAGATTAACATATAAAGTTTTAGATCAGGTTAGGTTTTTATAAATTATTATATTATTTTTTAAAATTTACTTAAAAATATGATCTTATATTTTTTTTCCGTCGCGGGTAGAATTGCTAGTAATTATTATATTAATAAAATTAATATTTCAAGTTTACAGGTAAGGAATACTTACAAAATAGCTTTTCCAATATAATAATGTATTCAATTTTCTTTGATTTATGTTTTATTTTTATTTATAGGCATATATAAAAAAATAATGTACACAATGTGTATCAGGGTTAATGAATTGGACATATAATTTTCTTAATAACTAACCCTTGATTAGATATTCGCTTGCAAATTCTTCTAATTCAGGCCGCGTTTAGATCAAAGGAAACTTATTGATTTGAAATCCTTATTAAACTCACTTGGTTTATCGTTTTATTTCTTGCTATTTCTTCAAATATCTTTAATATGTTTGTTTTTATACCGCAGTTACAACACAATATATGTTCTTTGCATTCTCGTTTGACAACTTACATTACGAAACAATTTTTTTTTTTTTGTTAAACATTTATTTACAAATATTAAAATAGTCCAAAATAGTCATGAAGTACTAAATCGTATATCGGGTTTGTATATTTTTAATTATGTTACCAAACAAAATAATAAATTTTTTTTTGTGCAAACGGTGATTAATCTACTTTGTTGATTGAAAATGACGCAGTATTAAAATTAAAGAATAAATAAAATAGTCTTTGTTATAAGATCGGAATTAAATCCGATTTAACTCACATTATGTTTTTTTCCTGCACAGGCTCTATAGCTACAAAAGTCTATACCTCTATTTATTTTATTTTATTTATTTATTTATTTTTTTTTGAGTTGACTTTGCAGTTTCATAAGTGTGACAAGTTCTCAGTGTCCACGAGCCCGTTTCGCCTGTCGGGCCCGGAACAGATCGAATTCTGGTGGGCGATTGATTCCCGGGCCGCCGCCTAATTTGATAAGTTGAATAGTTATGAATCATTCATATAATAAGCGAACTTGCAAACAGTGGAAATGTCCGCTTACCCCGATCTGAAGAATCCTCATCCTCACCGTCATAATCTCTTCTCCTCCTCTTTGGTGCACTACCTCCCTAATAATTTTTTTTATTATTATTTTTTAAAAAAAAGGTGTTTAATAAAAATATCAATATTGTAATGATAATCAATCAAACTAACCCTTTGCTTGCCAAACGTTTCCGTTTGACGTACACGACCTCGACCTTCAGTCCTGGCCGGGCTTCTATCTCGTACCGTAGGTATTGAAATGTTATTGTTTTTGATAATGGCATTTATCAACAAATTCGGGTTTATAATCGGCCCTGGAAAGTTATATAACGTTACGTTAAGAAAATTAAAATAAAATTCGATGAGCAAAATAATATTTACCTTTGTAATTGGAAGAGTGGGGAAGTGTTGCGAGATACCTCGCGATTTTTTCTGGAGGAGCGCCCGAAACAGAAACAGAAGTAACGGTTGGCTGTTCTTTTTCTACTTCCGATTGATCATATAATTGCCATGATGATTGCATTTTCGGACGTATAAACGCTTCTTGGCTCACTGATTTCAATAAAGCCAGCCGTTCAGGAGCGGCGGGTTCACGTACTTCTTTTTTATTTCTTACCACCGCTGGTACTTTCGCGGTTGTGGTTGTAGTATGGTCAACTTAAAAATAAAAAAGATAATCGGTTAGATTGGGCAGTATGATTTCTGATTAAAGTAGCTTAATATAATAACTTGATCTTTTTACAGAAACTCCATAATTACCATCCGAATGGTTTAAATGGTTTAATAAAGGAAAAATATATTGAAATTAAATCTAGATTGCTTACGCTGTGTGCCAACTTCGTTCCTTAATAAACTTGTATCTGGCAAGCCAAATCGGTCAGCAAATCTCTTTATCGAAGATTCTATCAGTTTATTTTAAAATATATCAATAAATAAATGCTTTAGAAGAAAATAGAAATGAATAAATCGTTAAGTTTTAAATCGAAAATTAACATGGGGATTCATTTCATACCTTGGGGATAAATCACTCTCCTACGCTCTTCAGTATTCCTTATTTTAAAGAGTGTGCAATATTTGTATACATATGGACAGTAAATATCCCAGAGTATTTTACTTTTATCAGGAGGAATTAACTGAATGTATTTCTCAAAGACCGAATGTATGTCTAAAAATATATATAAACACCTTGAATATCGTTTCAGAATGAACAAAAACGAATAACAGAAATTACAAAAATGAATAACTTACTAATATGATCATTTTTTCCTATGAAGAATTTTAAGTATTCAACCACGAAATTAGGATTTTCTGCTAATTCTTTCTGATCCAATCCTAATTTGAAAATTTTCATGTCATCTCCACTAGGAGAATTATCACCAACACCGAAAGCGGGTCGAACATTTTTTACATATTTATGAGCAAATTTGGAATTCATTGATGCTAAAATGTTTTCAAAAGTTAGATTACACTTAACAAATATTAAAACATTGATAAACCTGAAAATGTAGCATACCGAATTCTGTATATACATTATATGTGCAAAGATGAGACGGCGCAGCTTTTTCATAAAATAATTTACGAGCCTCTTCTAAACCCTATCGACGAGAAATAAATAAATTAACAAATAAAACATCATATTAATAAAATTAGCATGATGAGTTGACATACCTTCACACGTCTTACAAAGGATATTAGGTTTATCCAAATAACACCACCAGCCGAAACTATTTTATCAATTTGTTGTTTCTTGCGTTCTTCAATCTCCGAAATCTCATTTTTGAGTCCTATTTGTTTTTTTCTTTTTATCTCACGAGTCTCACCATCTTCATAGGTGGTATTTTCGGTTTCCTTGGCATCGTGCCTCTTCATCAAGGCATCAATTTCTGCCTGTATATCTTGTTCAATCTTTTCGTATTTTTTGTTCATAATTTCTAAGAGGGATTCATATATTTTAAAATTTTCACAAAAAGCTTTTTGAAAAGCATCACGATTAGCATCACGATTTCGGTAAAGATTTTGGTTAAGGTGCTCCTTAAGTTCCGCGTAACGTAAGTTAACCATCAAACTATAAGTAAATAGTAATAAAATATCATATGTAAATACCAATTCATTATTGAAGAAAGTAAAATAATCAATATTTTAACCTGTCTGGCATAATTTCAATCGCAGTACTCAATAAATTAACTGCTATTTCTTCCTTCGTTTCTTTAAATTCTTTCCCCAAAAAGGACCCAAACAATGCCTTTGCTTCAATTTTTTTGTTTTTAATTGAGACCCAATCTTCGTCTCCAATCGAGATCAAGTACTCGGCTGTATCATGCCTAGAAATATATTACGACATTTTAAGGAAAAAATTTTAATCCAAAAATAAAAATCCTTACGGGAAATCAAAAGTTTACCATATCTTGGGGTAGTATCGCATGTACATCATGGCTTTTTTGTAAGCGAATATGATTCTCTTTGAAAGGTCCACCGACTCGAGTCTAAGCGGATTGAATTTTTCCCATTCAATCCATTTTTCCAAATAATGTTTCTGAAAATAAAAAATCAACGTTATTATCAAAGTTGATCCAAGAGTTGACCATATTTAAATCGTACCTGTTCTATTTCCGACTTTGTCCATTTCAAAGGGATCGGAATTACATTCTTATTAATTTTATCAGTGAACCGACGTAAATCTTTAACAACTGTGGAAATACGATCATATTGTTGTTTCTTGATCTTAGATGAAAAGCAACAATACATGAGACATGTTAGATTTTTACGATGATGCAACATTAAGAAGGTTTTATAACTAACCGGCTGCTGATTCGGAAGGTTTAATTTCTTCTCATTTTTCTTGTAACTCTTCCATATTTCCTCAATATTATTCAACGGAATTTTTAAAGCTTGTTTATAAGCATCCCGCAACTCACTCAATATGTTATCAGTAGGTTCAAGGTTGTTTAAAAAATTTAAATAATCTTGCCAAATAATACCCGCTTCTATATCCAACCCGACGTGATTCAACGCGTACTTATAAATAGATATAATGCTTCCAATAGGATCAGTCTCTGGTGGAATACTAGCTTCAACTTGATTCCGCACATTTTCGATATAATGCTTAGCCAGTTCAACGGAAATAGAATAACGAAAAGATTTTGGATATAGTTCTTGAACTTTACTCTTATCATCTTGGCTTAATTCGAAGTTAAGATATTCAATCCATTGACGAGACTAAATTAATCACACAACAAAATAAAAATAAAAATAAAAAATAAAAAAAAAAAAATAGATAAACATAAACGATCAATATGTTGTAACAAGATAACGTTTAAAAGAAGCCATTCACGATTTATAACGTGTAACTAAAATATGAGTATAAAGAATACTTCAAGGATCATGATCATACACCTCGAACCAATTCAATAGAAAATGATATAATCACAAAGGAACGTTAAAATTGATACATAGCGCATACTTAATAACTGTGTAAAGACACAAACACAAAAGCACACACTAATCCCACCACCACCACCCAAAAAAGACACTAAACAAACGCTCCAAAATAAATGATTCCAAACAATTCAAGTATTTATTAATTATAATTTTATCAACTATTTTAAGATAAAAAAGGTTATAGTATTTATATTCACTTACCACTGTGGGAAATTTGTCTGTAAAACTTTTATATGTTTCTCTAATTTTATTTGTATCGCCTTTTTCTTTCAATTCATCAAGTAACGCTAACCACGCTTCCGTGTCAAATAAATTTTCAGTTATACGACGTTCGAGCGTTTCAATTTGCTGACTCAGTTTTTGTTGTACCTGACTTAGTTGTTGTTGTGCACCAGGTGGGATCTGCCAAGAGACAGGCTCCGCCGGAACCACTTTTGGTTTCTGATTAGTCGAAGCAGACGGGGTACCGACTTGAGGTTTATTTATTGCGTTTGTTCCGACATTCGCTCGACGTTCATTTGCATTTAAACCATTTGTAAATTGTTTTGTATTATTATTTGAGTGGTTCTGATTACGACTAGCTGGTGGTCTATTAATGTTTCCAGGTATTGTTGTAGTTGGGTTGGAAACAGAGACGACATTATTGTTATTGTTAATGTTATTGTTTATTGTTGGGCGCAAATTAACATAATTGTTAGGCCTTTCCTCAGGCCTAATTTGAGGTATTGGAGACTGTAGATTATATGAGGGTTGTTGTTGAGATGGAAAAATCGGTTGCGCTGAAAAAACGGCAGCTGTTTGTTGCGGTGGTGGCTGTGGTGGTGGTTGTTGTGGTTGTTGTGGTTGTGAAAAATACATTTGTTGAGAGATCTGTTGAGATAATGGCTGCGTGTGTTGAGTGTTGTATACTGGTTGTTGTTGCTGGTACGTTTGTACTGGGAAATTTACTTGTTGACCAGGTTGTCCAGGGATGACTGGTCTCCCAGGAAAAGCTGTTTGCCCAGGAAGATTTCTGTATTGCATTTGAAGGTCACGACGATCTTGGTGTTGCGCTTGATTGTAATTGAGATTTGGTCGGTCCATTATTTTATTTTATAGGGAATTTAACGTTTACGAAAAAGTAAATTTTTTTTTTTTTTTTTTTGAAAAAAAAAATACTTGGTAATTTAAGGAATGAAACCCGAGTGCGAATTTTTTTTTGTTTCAAAAAAAAAGTAGAGAATCTATATTAATTTTGATACCGGTGAGCCTACGAATTTCCGCGGAATTTCATGATCTTCGGAATTGAGGCCATTTATTTTTTTGAGTCGGCTTAAAGTTTCCTTCTCAAATTATTGGCAATTCCAATTATTTTGGAGTTACTGACGACAGAGTCTTGTTGTGTTTGCTTTATTTAATGATTTCAGACTTTGCTGTTACGTCTGCTCTACAGTGAGCTCTCTTGATATATTTTTCTTCTATTGACAAAGTTGAAAAATAATAAAATAATAGGAAAATTCCACCAATTTTGAGGCATGGATGTATCGAAAAGCTTACATGTACATATATACAAATACAAATCGAAGACGATAAACGTTGAAGTATTGATTCACGCCATAAAAAATTCTACTGGAATTGGTTTCATTAAAAATATAAATTTTATTATATGGGACCTTTGCAATAGTAAAGGGAAAAACTGTCGGGAAAAAAATTATTTAATGCTAAATTTGATAATTGATTAGTTTCTCCCCTTCTATTGCAAAGGTCCAAATTATTATATATTATTAAAATGCCGAATTTCATGATCATTAATCTAAAAAATTATAAAGATGTTATGATGACAACCAATAACAACCACCAATCTGATCTCCGAATTTTTGTATTCGAGAAAAATAAATTTTGATAACTTCTAAGCGAGCTTTATAAAAATTTTTTTTTAAAAAAAAAAAAAAAAAAAAAAAAAAAAAAAAAAATCAATATATAAAAATATAAAATAAAAATTTTTTAAGGAAAGAAAAAGAAATTTACAAAAAAAAAAAAAAAAAAAAAAATACAAATGAACATTGAAATAATTTATACAATAATCACCTAAAAATAAAAACGAGAAATAAATATACAAAAATATTTTCCACTTAAGCATTTTGCGTGTCCCATTTTTGTTGAATAAACCTAAGAGCGTCATCATTACCCATATTCGCTGCTTTCCTCATTAACCTTTTAGATTCTTCAACATCCTTTTTCAACCCTCCCAAACCTTTAAAATAACAAAATCCTAAATGGTACATTCCAGTAGGGATTCCTTTATCAACTGCTTTCTGAAAATATTCCACAGCTTTAACTTTATCTTTAGAAATTCCTTTCCCCGTTAAACACAGGTATCCAAACATATCCATCGCATCCCCATCCCCGCCTTCTATCGCTTTTTCATAATATTTAATTGATTTCGGAATATCTTCTTGAACTCCCTTACCAAAAAAGTAATAATACCCTAATCTAAACGAAGCGTGAGGATGATCATCTATTTTTTCAAATTCTCTTCTTGCTTCTATAAAATGACCATATTTATGAAAGTTCTTTGCTCTTTCTAATATCTCTTCTCGTCCATCATCTTCTTCGGAAACATCAGAAATAGTAAGACGTTCATCAATTCCTAGATGTTTATTTCCGTTACTAGTTGACAAGTAATTAACTGTTAAGTTATCACCAGGTAAATTTATAGACGCATTTTCCAAATCTTCAGGTCTAATTGCCTCAAGATGATCAATTATTTCTGTCGTTTTAAATCTACGTTTTGGAATTATACTTGTACAATTGGTAAAGATGCTTGAAATCGAAGTTGGTATATTTGGTGGTAATTGCAATTCCTTTGCTTCACATTTTCTTGCATTATATACTTCATACAATTGTAATTCATGCCAAGGGAATTTTTCGGATACAATTTCGTAAAACACAATTCCGAATGAATATATGTCACATTCCTCTGTAAAGGTTGCCACATCGTCACCAAGCCTTTCCGGAGCTGTCCAACGAATTTGTTCTTCAAAGGAATCAATCACTCCCAAACTTACTTTATTAATCCAACGTGATTTTCTGAAGTTCGTTATTTTAGCTCGGAAATAACCATCCAGGAGGACATTTGCACTATTTATATATTTATGCAAAATTCCAGCTCTATGAAGGAATGCAATACCTACCATAAAAAAAAGAAAAGAAAAGAAAAGAAAAAGAAAAGCAATTATCAAATGATCCGATAACCCGTTGAAACAAAAAATGAATAACTTTTTAAAATAATAATTAATCGAAACTTACCTTGAACCATACCCAAAGCTATACTTCGTTTCTTTCCCCAATCACCTTTTAAATGACCGGATGCGATAAAACTTTGCAAATCTCCATGTTCGCAATAACCTAAGACTAAGGCCAAATTACCTCGAAGTGGGGTGATACCAATTAGATCAATAATATTTGGAGACGGGGCTAACTTTTGTAAATAAGCTACTTCCAAAGCGAATTGTGAAACTTGTTCGGGAACGGATTCTTTTGCCATCGTTACTTTAATAACAACTTTAGTATCTTTTGGATTTCGATTTTCGTCCACGGTATGATGAATCGCAGTAAATAACCTATCAGTTTTATATCGTTCGAGATCGGATAATTCGGTGGAATTTATCCTAGAACCTAAAAGTACTAGTTGTGATGGTGCGTTTTTATATTGTTTATAACCACGAATTTCTTCCAAGGATTCTTTTACCATATTATTTAATTGGGCAAAGGCAATCTTATCTTCTTCGTGCCAATTTCTATGAGTTTCCTCCAATTCTTGAGAATCAACAAAATGTCGAATATTAATCGCAAAATTAAGCCTATTACAAGATTGATCTAACCTTTCCTCTATATCTTGAAATTCTGCTGCAAATTTCTTTGCGTAAAAAATTTTTAATCCATATTTCGCTTCCGCGTGTTGTTTAACCACGGCCCTACCATCCTCTAATACAATGGCGAAAGCTTTTAAAGCGGTGGCAAAACTTTTATCTTCAATCTCTTTTGGATTCTCCGCCAACTTATCCAGTAAATCTTTTGCCGAGTCACGAGCTATTTTGAACTGTTCACCGAGCCTTTTACATTCAGCTTTACAATGCCTAGCAGCTCCGGCATAAGTAACAATATCTTCAACAAGAAAAGCAATGTTACCAGTTAAAACGGCTATTACCGTATGGTTTATTATCTTTCCTACTTCAACAGCTCCTTCAATATATTTCGGTAAGCTTACACTTAACCTTTCCCCAAAATTACCCATTCCAACCCCGAATCCACCAAAAGCTTGATCAAACCCCGTATTATCGTCGTCTATACTACTCGTCCAACCCATAAATTGAGCCATTGTAGAAACAGAAATATCACGGTCACTATAACTATAAACGTCGGTTGAAAAGTCACAACTAAAATTTGAGCCTGGAATAGATCTTTTTTTTGTCTTTGAACGTCTATTAGACAAACGAAAATGAGACATTACGTACTACATAGCTGAACATTGTCGCCTCCTCTGTGACACTTTTTTTTTTTTTCAAGTTTTTAACTAGTTTTTCTTATTTATCTGCTTTTAGAAATTCAATCGCAGATTATTATAATAAATGTTGTGTAATAACTGCTTTAATATTGCCAAACTTTCCCTACGAGGTAATTCAATATAAAAAAGGGTGATTTTTTATTGAGAGATAAGTAAAAAAACTTTATTATATTACACTATTGATGATATATACCTAAACCATTTAACTGTTGGATTGTTAATTTTTCACGCTAATCCCATAATATCTGTCACCTCATGCGAAAAAAAAAAAAAAAAATGTAATGATGTAATAATGTGATTATTTACAAATACTATCTTAATTTGCTTAGAAAAAAGTCGAGATAGTTTAGGTTTAATTCCGCTATATAAACAATTACGAAAAAACGTCGTTACTATACACGTCTTTTTTTTTTAATGATCACAAAAAAAAAAAAATTAATATTGATTAGCAGAATGCGGGAAATATATATTATATATATTGTATGTTACAGTAAATGCTATTAACATAATAAAAGTATTATATATTTCTTTTTTATTAGCTTTGTGGTGGTAATTCTGACTTGTGTTGTTGTTGTTGTTGTTGTTGTTGTTGTAACATCAATAGTTGTGATCTTGATCTTATTTGTTCACTTAATCGACGACATTCTTCTTTCAACATCATATTTTCCGTCTTTTCGTCCTCAACAATCAATTTCTCACAAAGGTTCGTGTAAGTAGTCGGGCATAATTGCTAAAAAAATCATTTAGTTTTATAATTCGTCACTTAAGTGCGATGACAATCCATTACCATTACTACGGATTAATAAAGTAATTAATTACCTCTGCTTCTTTCTTCAAAAGATCGGTATACTTATCGAAAATTATTTTTCGTCTTTTGTAAAATCTTAATGCATTTTTGGTAGCTATAGAAGAAATGTGTATTGTATTTAGAAAAGTTACTTAATAAATACCGTTCAAAACAAATTTGGCAAATTCCTTACCATCTAAATCTGAAATTTGATCATTTCCTTTCATGTCTTCGTCAGGATATTCAAAAACATGATACGGTAAAAGTCTTGCAACCGCATCTTGAAAAGATCGGAATGGAGTCTTGTAATCAGGTTGCAATACTGCGATCTGATCTGATTTTGTTGCCGCTTCAAATCTATGAAAAATAAAAAATAAAAATAAAAATTTTGAAATGAATATCTAATTGATAGCTATTACAGTTTAACTCGGATAAAAAAAAAATAGCTGTCTTACCTTTGTACGATATCTAGATGATGATTAATTTCTTCTGTTGTTCTTTGAGTTCCTGTTGACTGAAATGGTCTCTTTACCCCACGTGATATGGACGGACGAGATTGGGGTGTCGCAGAATAATACTGTACTATCGGACGAGTAGTCGGTGTCGTACTAGTATAATAGGTGGGTTGAATAGGTTGAGAGGACTGGGACGGATGTGTACTCGTCTGACTGTTCATCTGAGTGCTCATTGGTATTGTACTTGTCGGTATGTGTTGGTATTGTGTTGAATATTCTTGTGTGAACTGAGAATCTGTCTCATCCATACTTCGTTTTTTGGCATATCGTCCTGTTTTGGTGTACCTCCTTGTGGACCTTGAAGATCCATCGGGATAAAATGTATCGTCTGGTGTAAACAATGAAGATGAATGATATAATGTCTGTGAAGTCATATTAAGAGAAATTGATCGGTCTAATGTTTGGTCAAATGAATTCGTTTCGGGAACTAAGGGAGGACGTGCTGCTAATGGTATGTACAATTGCTTGGATGTTGCTTGCGAATTTGATGTCGTCGTATTATTTATTGATTTGGTTGCCGCTATTGATGTTGTTGATGTTGATATTGGAACTGTTTTAAGTTTCGTTCGAGCAACCGTTGAACATGGTTCCTGAAGAACAGACGAAGGTCGTATTGACTGTGATGCGGGTGCCAATGAAGGTCGTGATCTCATTGAAGATATCGGAGTCTGTGGACAAATGTCATTTTCAATTATGGATGATCGATCTACAAGTGAGGATGTGGATGGCGGTGACTTTGAAACATTCGCTGAAGTATCGTTCGCTGATGAGGTCATGGAAGTTTCTTGATTCTGGATGGACTGTGACATTGATTGAGTTACAATCGCATTTGAATCGTGCAAAGTTTTTATTTCCTTCAGTAATGCTTCTCTTTGTGTATCAGATAAAGAATTAACCGACATATTGTCAGCTAGCCTATATATTATCTCGCCCTTTTTCCTATGCATAAGCACCGTTAGACCAGCTAATTTCATCATCTTAACTTGCCCTTCTTGCTCACAAATTGAGTGAGTCGCAAGCATTGTTTGATGTTGTGATGAGGTCAAATTGTTAGAACGTTGTCCGTTTAAAGTTCCCGTTCCGGAAATATTATTCCGTAAATTACTTGATAAAGAATTAACTACACCATTATTTTGTCCATTATTATTACTATTCCGATTTGAATCTTTTTTTTCTGTAGAGATTTTTTTAAGACCATTTAAAGATTCAGTCGTTTGTCCTGACAAATTACCATCAGGCTGAAGGTTTGATAGTTCCATCTTTCCACGATGATTATTGGTTTCAAATGTTATACCATTATCATGAATTTGTTGCTGCATAGATTGTTTATGACTTGATTCATTTTTCATTGAATTGCAAGAATTTTCCCGAATGTCATTAACAGAATCTTGACTACCATCACTTAAATTTTCAGGTGTTACATTTTGTGAATTAGGACTTGTTGACTTTTTCGGGGATTTATGTAATGGTTCGTGTTGTTGTTGTTGTTGTTGTTGTTGTTGAAATACATTGGTATTCTTCTATAAAATTGATTTTTTTTTTTTTTTGATTTTTAAAAAAAAAAAAAATTCAAAATACAATAAAATCTAATATCAATATAGAAAATTAGAAATTAATAAAAAGGAAAGGAAAAAAAAGAATAATTTATTACCTGTTTTTCCTTAAGTAATTCAACATCATTCTGTGAATTATCATCATCATTAATTTCTAATATTTCAATATCTTCTTCCTTATTATAATTTATTACTGTAGCCATAACTGTAAACAAAATATTATATATATAAAAAAATATATATTATATATCTCTATATTATATAAATCTCACTATCTCACAGTAGTTTTATATAGCAAAGATATTTTTTTTTTTGAAAGTTAGTTTTTATATATATATATATATATATTTCGTTGAAGTGAGTATTGGTAATTGAATTGACAGTTGACAAATTCTCGTTTCTGTAGGTATATTGTGAATGCAATTAAAAAAAAAAAAGACTTGTCAGAAAAATTTGACATATTTGTAGACACTTTCTTTATTTTATTAGAGCAATCTATAACAATGCAACAATCAAACAATCGCTTTCAGTAGTGATTACACCAAACTCTCAATCCTCCTGCTTTACAATTACTGAAAAGGGTTCTTTACAAAACAAAGTTACATTTAAATAAAAATAAAAAAAATGAAACTAAAATAAAAACATTTTTAAAGAAAACATAAACTAGTGATCAGTGAATGGTAAAGGATTAAAAAAGACGACAAAAAAGTAAAATATTATGAACAAGGATAGATGGAAAAAAAAAATAATTCGCAAGAAAAATTTTGAAAATTATAAATCCGTAACTTGGTTTATAACTTTTAAAACTTGTCAACTCTCTACTTTGAAAGCGCAAACAAACATCCAAAGCAGAAAAGAAAAATATGTCAAAAAAAATATATTTATCGTACCTTACGTCCCAGGTTTTTTTGGAAGTAATTTGAGGGATTTTTGGCCAAACCAACTACCTAGGGCGCACGTTGAGTCGTTGGCTCAATGATCTAGTTTAAGTTGGATTATCGTAAGTATTGTACATTATTTTAGGAGTTAACGCTCAGCCTCATTCGAATCGTTCGTGGCTGACGATTTCAGTCACTTTGACCAAAATTATCAAGCAATTTAGGAAATGACCATAAAAGCGGGCCAGAGCAAAATTTATTAAATTCAGCCACATACAAAAATAAACTGTGGCAATTCGTAAAGAAATAGATAACCATCTATGAATTAATTAAATTAATTTATAGAAATTTTTTTTTTTTCAATTACTTTTAAAATTATTAACTATGTAAGAAACCTGTTTAATGATTAAACTTATTAATGTTAACTGGCTAGCCAGCAATACAATAACTTATAATAATATGGATGTCTATGTAATTTTTATATATGTTTTGTATAGAGTCATTATTTGTTCTCATCCAGAAACACGTCAGAGGATGGATATTACTTGTAGGCTTTTCCGAAGAAGATTACTTGAAGTTTATCATAACTGTTACAAAAGAATAAGGTGTAAGTTTTCATTATTTAAAGAATTTCTCGGCAGAGTAATAACGAAAAAAAAAAATAAGTTTATATATAAAACAAAAACTAACCCAGCCAATACACCAGCACCAGCAATGGCACGAAGAATGTTAGCACCAGCACCCTTAAACAAAGACTTTGTCCCTTCTTTGGCTACAATTTCCTTAAAGGCATGATAAGAGGATTTATATTTTACGGCTTCTCCAGAAGTCATCATCATACGACGACGTATGGTGTCTATGGGGTAACTTGCAAGGCCAGCACCAATGGTCACAGACCAACCAAGCAAGAATCTAGATTATGTAATTAATAATACAGGTTATAAATTATCAATATGGCAATTATTTATCATGTTAACAATCAATTATTAAAGGAATGAAAATCTTGAACCGAATACCAATTTCTCGAATGCATAATATTTTAACATGCACAATTCATAAGAAATTCGATACTTACGATGCGAGGAAGTTGTCCTTAAGCGAACCAGTAAGGACAAGAGGTTTCAAAGAATCGAACATACCGAAATAAAGACCTCTGTAGATTATGATTCCTATTATTTGAATTATAAAAAAAAAATTATTTTGGCTTTTAACATAAGAAGACTTTATACTTCGCCTGAATTGCGACGAGTTGTATTCATTGTTGTAATGTCACGACTACGCCGGATTAGGCAAGCATCATTAAAGGCGCAATACGAGTAATCCTTCTTATACATCAAAAATAAGATTCGTCTCTGAATTTGATTGTTCCAAATATCAAATATGTCAAAATATTTTAAACTTACCAACACAAGAAATATTGAACCCTGAATAGATTAATCAAAGTAATAAATAAAATTTTACATGAGTTTAGGATTATTATATCATTATAAGATCGCAATTTTTTTGATTAAAGAATACCATCTTACCTCTGTAAAGACCAACGAACCCATCTGATTTGATGGTTTTAGAATAAACGTCAACAAGACCATTAAATTGACGTTCACCACCCTTTTTAGCAGCTTTAGCATCGTTAGCAAGACGAGTTCTAGCATAGTCAAGCGAGTATACAAAAGTCAAAGAAACAGCTCCAGCTGCACCACCAGAAGCGATATTTCCGAGAAAAACTTTGGCATAACCATCTTTGTCCTTTTTATAATTAAACATTCGCTTAAACTTATCCTTGAAAGCAAAATTCAAAGCTTGTGTAGGGAAATATCGAATAACATTGGCAGTATTTCCACGCCAAAGAGAAATAACTCCCTCCTCCTTTATTGTTCGGGAAAAGCATTCGCCAATGCCTTTGTATGGTGTAGCAAGACGACCAGACTTGAGCATCTCGTCCTGATTTTGAATAAGTAACTTGACACGCTCGATAGGAGCAGCAGCGGTCTTTGAGACGGCAGCGGAAACACCACCCATCATGAAGTCCAAGAAAAAGGCATAGGTGGAGTCTTTCTTTGGGCTTGACATTATGAATATTATTTGAGAGTGGGGAGAATTAAAATTAAGATTGGTTAACAGCAAATAATGGAAAGAAAAAGACGGATCAAAAAAAAAATATTTTCTTGATCTTATAGGAAAATCGGTTGAAATTTTTTTTTTTTAATAAACCAAAAAATGATTGGATGAATGTTGAAAAACTTGTATCAGATGTAAATGATTGGTTATCCATTCTCCCGTCCGTGAATCTCCGGTTTTTGGTGTTTCATCATTTGCATAAAAAAAAAAAAAAAAAAGGGAACTCGCAGATTTTGTACATTTTTAGACAATTCAATTGAATAAATTACTTAAATAGCACAACTGATTTTAATTTTTTTTTTTTTGATAGTATTTCTATTTCTAGACCATGAAAAAAGAAAAGGTATTTCATTTTTTTTGTTATTCATCAAAATTTTTCTGTTTTCATGATGAGATGTTTTACGTCTTCCATATTATTCGGCTTATTGTCGAATGTGTGATGGTGACTTTATGACTACGTACGGTATCTGACGCGAAACTTAAAACAAAAAAAAAAATTGATTAAGGAGGTTTTCGTTGATCTAACTTCTGGCTTCTCTTTAATAAATATAGGATACGAGTGATAGCCACGTGTCTTTCATTTGAACATTTGAAATATTTTAATGAATTAATTTAAATTTTCGCTATCATTTATTTGAGTTTAATATCTACATAAGCAACCAATGAGATCTTAGATCCAAAATATTGATAATCCATAAAATACATATTTCATTTTATCAATAAAAAAAAAAAAAAATGAAGATAAAGAAACTTATGGTTCGTTCAAGAAAACTTGATAACAAAAGTCCTTGTACTCCAGAAATAGCTGCTCTTTTAACTTGTTGGGCAACTAGTTCAACTGATTCTCCTTCATGTATACAAACTGTTCAAGCACTTACCGAGTGTATGCGTAAAGTGGTAACGTATAGAATCATTTCATCTTTTTATGATATAAGTCCAAACATTGTTAATAATATATATTATTTAACATATTAAATCGTAAAAGCCAAAAAAATCACAACATGCGACTACAATCAATTACCATTTAGCTCGCCTTGGTAAATTCTTGTAAAAATGATTATGAATCCAAAAAAAAATGCATTATTCTTGAATAAAGGTCAGGTGCGTTTATTAGCAATAACTTTTGTTTAATAAAAGAAAAAAAAAAAGTTTATCCTTTCTTCAGTTTAGATAAAGATGTCAAAGATTGACACAAGAAATCGTGGATGCCAATAAATCCAAGTTCATGAAGTTCTTTCAAAAAATGAACTCTATAATCGGTATATGTCATTTGCAACCCACCCGCCTGAAATTAAAATATTTGATCTCTTTTTAATTTATAAATTAACAAACTCAAATAAATTTGATTTAATGAATTTTATGATACCTCTTTCAATGAAAATTGAGTCACAGGTGATGCGAGCCTCTTTGTAATATTTGGAGACGAATCTTCCAAATTCTGTTAAATTTTCCAGAAAAAAAAAAAAATAGAATTTTATCAAATGTTTAAAATCTAATTCATATAATTAGTAAAGTTTATAATACCTGGACACAAGACTTAGATAATGCAGACAAAAATGGCAAATGAGTTATTGAGTAACTAAATACCCAATTTTCACTATAAATCTCTTGCAGCTTTTGAATAATATCACTATGATTAAACGATAAATAAGTTGATACACATTAGAAAAGCAAATTAAATATGTAAATTATTAGATATAAACTTACTCGTCTAGCTGAAATCCTTTCGCATTTTTATCTTCTTTATTAAAAGGACGATTTCTCCACAAACAATTGCACATATCCATGACAAACGAATTAAAATAATTTATATAATTACGGTTATGGCGCGTTCTAATTCGCCGCGAGCCTTTTTCAAATTTATCAAATGCTTCTTTATATCTACAGCAATTGTTCATTTAAGACATATAATGGCACAATCAAACAATTAAATAATTAAAAATAAAACTCACTGTAAAACAATTCCACAGATTCTAGACAAGCTCATTCCCGAAGTAAAGAACGATCGATAGACTATTGATGATGAAGGGATGATAATCATATCCCAATTATGATTCAATTGTAGGTTCGCTATGGTTTCAAAGGCGGAAAGGATTGCATGCTGCACTTCTAAATCATCATTAGTGCTCTGTTTATATAAAAATCAATTAGATTTAATAGATTTAGAAATATTATTGATCTCAAAATACTTATTACTATTTACCTCGAGAGAAGTAAGTGAGAGTTGATTAATATGATTAATCAACTCTTGAATTACTTTAGAATGATCTCCTTCGGTTGAAAGTTTTAAAAATGAATTCTCCCTTAATACAAAAATAGAAATGATATCATTAAGTGATAGTCAAACGTCTAAAAAACGAAATGAATGTAACTTACAAATCTTCGATTTCACCTTCTTGGTTTGTATGACCGAAATTATCTTCTTGATGTAAAATCCAATGCGTAAAAAGATTCGTATAACAATGTATTAATTTGGCCTGATATAATATTAGATATTAGGACTTATTCATAGAAATAATATTTCATTTTAAAATGATGAATACCTTCCAATTTGATGATAATTTTTCATGCAGCTTTTGTAAAGGTGTTAAAAATTCATTGGACAATTCTAAATAAACATCACAATTATTATAAATAGCATAACACATTTTATAAAAAATAAAACAACTGAATTAATTATATTAAACTACTGACGTTTGAAAGGTACGGGTCTCAACAATGACAACAACTTAAGTATCGCTTCTTGATGTTCGATTCCATCCCATGTTTGAACGTATTTTGCTAAAAATTCTTGAATAACAGGAAGTAATTCCTAATAAAATAATAATTTTTAGATATGGATATATATTAATAATATAAAGAAAATAATAAAAACGAAAACCTTCATGAATTCCGTTAATGCAACGATTTTTGTCAATAAACTGTTAAATAATGCTTTGGTTTCGACTGTATTATCATTCCAATAAACTAATTCCATAAGACATTGTTCAAGCCAATAACTAATCCTCGCAATAGTAACCTCTACAAATATAATAAAACAAGTCAATAATAATTGTAAATAATTATATCTCTTGTATAATTTTTGTTATGACAAATATACGGACTTTCAGGGTTGCAAACAACGATATGTTGCAACATTCGATTTTCCAACACAGAAGCTAATTGACTTGGTAAATCAATTTTATCAATGTTGGAAGCAAGTAACTTAACATTCATTATTTCATCCAAAGTTATTGAATTCTAACGAATAATTAATATAAACGTATTAAGGTATATATGTGTATATTTATCAGGGAAATAAAACAACATGTCATGGTACTATCACTTACTTGAGTGGCGTTAAATGTACGCGCTTTTGGAACCTCGATATGGTCTAACTTTCTCCTTTTTGGCTTTAATTAAAATTAAAAAACCAATTAGCATTGATTTCATCCAACATAATCGACTTTAATTATCATACCGTTGATTTAAGAAACAATGATCTTGTTAGAGGGGTATCATCTAAACTTTTATCACAATTCCATTTTCTTTGAATTTGGTTAAATAATTGAAACCATGCAACATCCGAGCACTAATAAAGGTATATCGATGAGAAATAATTTCATTACTCACAATAATAAAACTTTTTTTACCTTGAATAAAGCACCCTTTGAAGGTGGAATGCGAATTGTTACTAAGTTTGGAAAAAAAGCCTTATAAAGTGTTAGTAACCCAAGGAGATGCGGTTCAGGCCCATATCTGTTTTGAAGATCTACTCTATTAAATAAAAAAAAATAATAACTTGAAAATAGACCTTTATATGAGAAATTCACGTAAAAAAAAAAAAATGATTACAATTTGCGTATTCTATAGGATTTAACATGTTCGCGTCGTGTCATTAAATATAAAATATGACAGATAAGTGGCCTTAATATAAATGAATTATGATTTGTTAATTTAGCTCTTTACTAATAATAGAAACGCCGCAATTCATTATTCCCACCTCAAGGTGTCATATTCCATATAATGAATTATTACACCATAAAACTTTAGCAATTCCGAATGATCTTCAATTACATTATAAACAATAATAATCCAACGAAGTAAAAGAGCCTTTTGAAAGAATATAAATGTGAGCTTTCAGTATCGCAAAACTGTCTTATACGAACAAGAAATCAAAGAGTAATAAGAGCACCTGAATATTGTATTTTAAAATTTTATTTCCAAGACTTCCCAAGACCTTTATTACAAGGAAGTTAGATATTTTTGTACGTGGCAAAAGGACTTTTATTAACCTTTTGGTGTCAATATCGTCTAATCATTAAAAAAAATTACAATAAAAATTAAAATAAATAATTTACAAATATTATTCATTGAAAACGTACAAACCCACCTAATTTTCCAGTGAGTATGACATTCAAAACTTCAGCTATTTGCGCTACTTCAAGACCGCTGTTTAAAACCAGTTCATCCAATTCAAGAATTTGATTTTTCACAATTTTTTTGATATTTTTAACGCCCGCGTCTAAAATTTGTATTGAAGTATTATTATTTTTTTTTTTTTAAAAAAAAAAAAAGTTATTTAATCTTTATTAGAAAATTAAATTTACAAAGCAAAGAATATTAAAATAAATATAAATGAATTACGTGTAATAATGAAAATTTTGATAGATAATTTTCTTTGACTCTAACAACATACTTTGAGCTATATAATGTATCTTTTCGTTAATAAGTTTATCGATATTAATTGTACTTTCTGAACGCAAGATTTGAAATTCTTGTCCATTCTCTTCGTGTGAATTGCTTGCGTCAAACATCTTATGCATTAACGCGTTAAAATAATACGCTGATCACTTTTTTTTTCTGAATTTTAAATCCATCTACGCGTGTTGTTAATTTTGTGATCAACCAATTAAATTTTATTTTTTTTTGATGAGCAAACGATTTCTTCTTTTAGAAGTTGTGTTTGTTATCGAACTTATCTAACTTGCATAATAAAAAATCCATTGTAAGAACTTTATTTTAAAAAAAGATTTTATCCGAGTACGTTATACAGGAAAGTATGTACAGTACTTTGTACCTATGGCTCATCACAATATCCTACAATGCGCTGGGGCATTCAACTTATGTGGACCTCCTTCGATTGATGCTTGGAACAGGATTACCAAGCCCCTGTTAAGGTAGCTTAACAGCTAAGCTTAATCGTCCTTTTCCAGTATATTTGACTTAATGAGTATCCTACGTGCGTTGGAGCTATTCCACGTACGTGGACCTCCCTCGATCGATGCTTGGAAAAGCGAGTGCTAGGCGCGTGTTAGGATAGCCTAACATCCTAGCTTGGCAACCTCTTTCAGAATACCATTTAGTCAATGCCAAATCTAACCATACGTTTATTATTGAAATGACTTTTAACTTTGATACTAATAATATTGGTTACAATTCTTAGTATGAATGAACATTTCAAACGGGATTAACAAATATTTTAAGGAAGAAGTCTTCGCAAAATGGTCTATCTACAATTGTCTTGAATTTTTGGGAGAAAATTGCAGAGGGGTGACGTCTGAACATCGCAAAGAAATTATGACTGAATTAAAACATCAGTTCCATTCAATAACTACTCATAACTCAAGCAACAAAAAAGTCCGAGAAAAGGCTACAAAACTTTTTAATAATGTAGAAGAAAATTTTAAATTCAAAGAGGTTACGATGTTTTTTGACCAAATGGATAAAAAAGTAAACAACAGTTGTTAATTTGTATTATTTACGTTATATACAACAAACTAACCAGTTTACAGTCGAATGAAAAGTTATTTGAAACAAAAGCCGATCTATACGGATCAAAGGTTGCAGTGCATATGATAGACACGATGTTGAATTCTTTTCGAATAGAAAGACCTTCCGTAAGCAGTCAGTCCACGATATTATCTCCTGAATGTGATGCTGAAAAGAAACATGAAAGTTTTGTCAATGTCGCAGAAACATCGGATGGAGCCGAGGTTTGTTGATGTTATTATCTTGACAAGATTATATTTTGGGTTACTTATATAAGTTTATCTCTTATTCTCAAGGTTTTCATGAGTCCTGATAACAATCAAATTGTTTCCGAGAATATACAAACGTTAAGCAATACAGAATCTCATGAACAAAAAGTAGATAACCCGGAAATCGTTGTGGATAAGGTAGCTACAATGAGGAACAGTTTTTTTTATTGAGACGTAATCTCTTAAATAATATTTGAAATTTTCATTATATTGCAGATATCTGATTTGATATTTTCAAATTTAAATCTCGAGGAAATTTGGAGGAAAGATTGAAACGTGACAATTTGCGAGTGCAGTACGTCATTGTTGCTTTTTCACAAATAATATTTGTTTTCGCTCAATAACTAAAAAAAAAGTTTTAGGTCCATTGAATCACGAATAGTGGATCTCTCAAATTGGACGAAAGTTGATTGGGATAAGGTTCTTAAAGCATCCGATTATGCGCAATTGTTTATCAAGTCAACTAGAAAACTTAATAAAGATAAAATCGATACGAAAGTAAAAAATTTGCTTCACGATAGACTTGGCTGTGTGGTAAGCTATTTTTGTTCGTAGTTTTCTGCTTCTTACAACATATTCATAAGTTATTATGTTATTTTATAGAAGTCACTAAATGATCTCATATTATGGAAAAATAAATTTGCAACTTTGGAATCTGAGGATGCACGATTAACTATCGGAATTATTGAATTTTTGTAAGTGTATGGTTGAATATTTGAATGGATTGATTGGGTATTTTATTTACAGATACTGACTGGATTTTTATTAGTCATCTGTGCTTACGAAGAGAGGTTAATATTCTTGTTATGAAACAACGAGAGCGTGATCATATTGTTAAGATCCTTAGTCCAATTTTTGGATTAATATTTGAAGAATTTAATATAGGCATCTTTGAGCTTAACTGTAAGTGATTATTTTTGCATTGCACTAATTATTCTATAAAATCAATTCTTAAAATGGTATAACTAATTTATTCTAGGATTGAAAAAGATTCACGTAGTGTTACTTCCAGAATACGAAAGTATATTAATGAAGAATACGTGAAGTTAAACCCACCATCTAGAATGATGGATTTGGTAATATCATTACGTAGTTACAAGATTGAATTATTAGTGCTTGAAGCAGGGAATACAGAAGGTCCTATGGACGACACTAAATTCCGGGAAGACCATTCTAAAATTAAAGTGGTAATGAAAGATTGTATGGATGCCTTTTGGAATAAACTTCATTTCAAAAAAGATGAACTTGAAGAAGTCTTTGTGATGGGCGTTCAGATAACAGGTATGTGTAAAAATGCAATTTATTTATTCAGCGCGGTTTAAATTTTTTCTGTTTAAAATTTTACTTATGTTGTATAGGCACAAAATGGACAATCTACTCCCTTACATATGATAATTCAAAAAGGTTTTATTTTTTTGTCGAGATGGCGGGGTTGACATTACCAACATTGTTATCTGATATGAACGACCTCTTACCAGATTTCTTGGAAAATCTCCTAGCATTACGGGTATATATGATATACTTTCCTGTCAATACCACCAGTGTTCACGTTATCTTAATATTTATTATTTAGCATACGCAAGTAGATCTGGTTGCAAAGATTCGAAAATTTACTCAAAAAGGATTTTCCACGCCGGCTCCATCTTCATCGTCATTATACGAAACAACGGAGACTCCTTCGAAAAAAATAATATAAATCAGGTTCCTTTTGTATCTTTGCCAATTTATATTAAAATACATATTTGGCTCGAACGATATGTACAATAATAGCTTTATACAAATTTTTCGCGTCCTAATGTCAAGACAGTTGTCTATTTGCTGCAGGCTTTGTTTTAAAGCTTTTGCAACTTCACGAAAAGAACAAACATTCACATAATTAAACAATACTTCATTTCTATTCTCTTTCTCAACCGTCTTCAGAACAAATGCTTTTTATATTAATTCCTTTATAATTCTTATCAAAAAAAAAACTAGGTTTTTCAAATGCCATTGGAAAAAAACGTTTTTCAATTGAAACATTTCCAGAGAATATATTTGTACAGTGGCGCTCAAAAGTATTGCGTACAATTTTAAAATGGTATTATCTTGTGATTAAATTATTTATTAGATTTATCATAACCAAGTCTATTCAATAGTATGAAAATCGTTACAACTCACTCATTTCAAAAAGAAGAAATTCAACTTATTAGTTCTAAAAATAAGAAACAAAGAAGGGCTGGTCCTAAAGAGAAAAAAAAAAAAAGAATGTTAAACATATTCAAAGAAGTCAATACTTAAGGTTGCTTATTTAAACTTATTAAGTTTTTATAAACTTTGATATAATTTTATCTTTTTTTGAGTTTTACAAATTTTTTAATAAGATTTTAATTTTATTAAATTTACTTTTACCATTTAAACAATTTGTAAAATCTCTAAATTTTATCTAGCAATCTTATCAATATTTATTCTAAGAAGAGAAAACTTATTAATTAGTTTTCAAAATTTAAAAAAGGGTTAATCTTAAAAGAAAGAAAAAAAACATTCTTAAAGAAGCTTAATACCTATTTCAAAAAGAAAAATCAATTTATTAAGTATTTTCAAAATCTAAAGAAAGGTTAATCCTAAAAGAAAAAAAAAATTATTAATAAACATTCTTAAAGAAGATTATTATTTATTTTAAAAAGAGAATTAACTTATCAGTTAATTTTCAAAATTCAAAAAAGAATTATCTTAAAAAATAAAAAAAAAATAAAAAAAAAACTTTTTTCTTTTCTCTTCTTTTTTTGATCTAAAATGAAAAAATCTTTTTTCAAAATTATAAATATATATATATATATAATATTTATTAAGATTTTAATATAAAAAACAAAGAATTTAAGAATAGAAGTTATAGTTAACTCTTTTTACAGCGAATTTTAATATTATGAATTTTACATTATAATAGATTTTCAGGTTAGATAGATTTTTAAATATAAAAAAACCTTACTATATCAAATTTGATAATTAAAAATTCATATTACATTTAATAAATTAAAGTCAGAAAATTTATATATAAAATGAACCTTCTTATAATGAATTGTTCTATAACAATTTTTTTTTTGATACAATAAAGTTTTGTTTAAAATGAATTTTACTAAATTTATATATATATAATTTTGTAATTCTTCATATCTATTTTTTTAAATAAAATTAACAATAAATAAATATTATATTACATATTGTATCTTATGTTTCATGATTTTTTTTTACATATTTTATTTTTTATATGTTTTTTTCTTTGCATAATGCTAAAAGTAAACTCAAAAAACAACTTAATATATCTATTAATAAATAAAATGAATCTTTAAAAAAAAATAAAAATCTTTTACAGCTATACAAAAAAAATTTTGTTTGAAAAAAATATTATTACCTTTTTTAAAACAAAAAAATTTAACTAATAAATATGATGTTAGTGAAGGCATGGTAAGTGACATTTTAAAGAAAAAGACTGTTGGCTTTCTGTAAATACTAATTCATATCAAGCTAATTTGAAACATAATAAGAAAACTCTATTCTCTCTCGTTGAAGAAGTGTTAGCAATTTGGATAGATAACATACTCAAAACTAGTCTTATTATTACTGACAATATTCTTTTAACTAAAGTCTTGAATTTTGCTTTTTATTAAAGAAGGATAAGTTTAAAGAATCTAGTAGTTAGATAAACAACTTTAAAAAATAATACAACCTTAAACAGTATCATATACATAGGGAAGTTACAAATGTATTATTCAAAGATCTTAAAATAATAAGAGAGAATCTCTAGTAAATATTAAAAGATTATAGTTTTAAAGACATATTCAATTATGATAAAATAGAACTATTTTGAAAAATGAAACTATATTGATGATATCTAATAAATAAACATTAGAAATGAAATAATTAAAGTATCATATTCCTCTTAAAGTTTTTGATTCTTGTCTTTCTTCTAAAGCAAATTTTTTTCCAAATATTTACACTCAAAGAAAAATTTAGCTATTTGATCTAAAGAAGTTGATAATTAATTTTCTAAAATTGATATTTTTACTTGAAAATCTTCTTGAACTTAAACTCCCTTTTGAACTTTTTGATAAGAATCTTTAGTTTAATTAAGAAGTAAAAGTATTAGCCATTACTATAGTTAACTACATAAGGTTGAATAAATCATCATTATTTGCTAAGAAACAGTATAAATTATATATATTCAAAACTCATAATAAGCTAGCACATATCCTATATAATTAAAGCTTTCAGATTAAACTATTTTTAAATTTATCCATTTTACCTTGAGAAATTTTTCACTTTTAAACTGTCTATATCAAGCAGAACTCCAGCATTAAGAGGAAAAAAACTTTTTTTATTTATGTGAATCATTTTAAAAATATTATGAATTTAAAAATCTTCAATAATTTTGTTTATGAGATAAGAATTTTTGAGAAAATAGGAGAGATTTTAGAAGAGATATTTATAAATGAAAGATGCGTGTAAAATTTTTTAAGATCACAAAAAATTCTCTTTTTGCAGAAAAATAAACATTTAATTATTAGTTCAAAATTGTTATTAATTATTATATAATATTTTAAAAAATACAAATATGTTTTATCAATAATCATGCAATATTTGCATAACACTCTTAATTAATATTTCTTTATTTGATACAAATTTAGAAAATTTTAGTAAGCTGCATAATTTTGAAAGTTCAATAAAATGTATGTAAAAGAATCAAGAAATATGAAAATGTAAATTTTTCTGAAAAAGAAATTATTTATAATAATTATATAATTTATGCATTAAAAAACTGTTTAATAGCATAATCAGTTGATTAAAAGATAATTTTAGATTTGTATTTAGCAACTCTATCATGATAGATTACTTAACTGTTAGATTTTAATAAACTTATCTGATATGAAGAAAAAATCATATTATAAATAAAGGTCATTTTACATAGTAGAGTCTATAATTAACAGTTAATATAAATAATTTAAATATAGCAGGATAATTGTGAAGATTTTTATTTTTTTTATTTATTTTTATTAACTTATTGAACAATTATAAAAAGGCAAAAATGTAACGATATGTAAAACTTTATTGAATAATAAAAAGATAATAAAATACATCAATATAGAAAGAAAAAAAAATATATTTAGAAGAAGCTATCTATAATAATTATTACTAGCTATAAAAAATAAAGAAAGAGAGCATAGTTTATAGAATAGTCAAAAGATAATAGCAAAGTGTAGTTTTATAAAGGATAAAAATACTAATAACATCTCTCCTTAATAAAATATTTAATAATAATTAATTATTAAGAGATACATAATAAAGAAAAATTAAATTCTTCACTTTTCTGATAAAATTACTCCAATATTCTTCTAAAGTTTTTATGAATTTGGTCTAAATTATTCTGAAGATTTTGAACTAATTAGATATTTTCATAACTTTGAAGGTAATAAACATCAACTCTTGTACAATTATATTAGAATAGAAGACCCTCATATTTTATTTCAAAATCTTAATATTGATTTCTATTGTAAAATAAATGAGAAGATAAATGATTAATTTCATTAGATAAATTAGTCACTTAAGATAAAGAAAATTTAATAATAATTGAAGTCTATGATTCTCAATATTCAATTCATTTAGCATCTGCAGTCTTGTTTCTTCTTTTTAACAGTGAAAGTTATATTGATAATGAGAGAAAAATTTGAAAATTTTACAATAATTTTGATAACACAAATAAAACTTAGTAAAAATCAAAAAAGATTTTTAGTTAAATATTTATAACAAAATATGATAGCTGTAAAAATTCTCAAGACTATGAGAATTTCCTTTTCTGCAAAATATAAACAAATAATTATTGGTCTATTTTGTTAATTATTTCACATGTAATTATGTAATTTAGCAATAGAATTCATAATTTTATTATACAATTGATTAATAAAATTTGTAATTTTATGAAACAAATTGGAATAATTTAGAATTTTTATAGGAACAAAAATTTTAAGAAGTGAGTAATGTAACAGACTTAATTGATCTATATAATGCATTGTAAGTAGTTACATAAGTGATATAGTTAACATGATTAACTTAATAGATATATTTAATTTATGTAATACAAAAAAGTGTAAATCAAAATATTAAACATATCAAATATATTTCTAATATATTTGACATATCTGATATATTTGATATATTAAACATACCTAACGTATATGATATATTAGATTTATATTAAAAATATATAAAAGAACTAAATTCTTAATAAGAAAGTAACTATTAATTGTTAGATATAATCTGATCAGTTCAACAATGACTATGTATAATATCTTTTTTGCAAAGATAGCATAAGGCTACTATTTTCTACTTATAAATTAATTCTTTTTTTATATTTTTTTATTTTAGTATTTTTATCTTTTAATTTGTTTATTTACTAATAAATTTTATTCAACATTTTTGTGATACTTTATATTAATAATATAATTTATGTTTATTTTAACTTAACATATGATAATATATTTAATAGTATATTGAATATACTTAGTAGTATATAATAAATAAATCATATATTTATTATAGGTTTGAATATATTTTTCAATATATAACAGAACTTAACCAACTAAAATGTAAATATATTTTTCAATATATAAAAAAATCTAATTAACTAAGATGTGAATATATTTTCTAACATATAAAAGAACTTTT